TCCTGTGTTCCGAGTTTCCTTCTCTTTAGCTAACAAGTTGCTTCTGCTTATCTTCTCTAGCCAATTCTTGGGCTGTTAAGTATGCAGGAATGCGTTTTTTCCAGAGTAAAGTGTAGCTGAAGAGTCACTGGCCAGAGCCACCTCCAGGGCAGGCTGGGCAAGGTCACTTGGCTCTCATTGCCCGCCCCCACGCCCCTTTCCAGCTAACCTTGAGTGAGTGAGTCTCCAACCCAGCCTCTGGGCAGCAGTCTGATTGGTTTCCCTAATCAGCTCACTATCCAAGCTGAGCTGGGACTCTCAGCTAGAGGAAGTCACTGAAGCAAACAGGAAGCCTGAGAGACACCCATCAGCTGGAATTGCTCACCCTTTCACCAGGAAGGACACGCATTATGAAGTGGGTGACTTCATGTGCTAGAGAAGAGATCCCACCTCGAGAGATTCTGATCCCGTTGGTCAGGGTTACCTTCTTAATGCCCAGGGTGATCCTGATGAAAAAAGTTTGAGACCCACTAACCTGTAGTATCCAGAGCAGAGGAACCCAAAGCAAGGAAGAGTAGTGTTCTGCTTTTTCTTTCTCTTTCTCTTCCACCCGTGGCCCCCGAACTGGCTGGGCATATGCCCGTTATGCCTGTTCACGGGGCCGGAGTGTTTAGGAAATTGGACCCCTCTGCCCTTTCATATGCATTGTGGTAAAAGGTATAGCAGACCCCTTAGTCCTTGCAATCAACCTCATTTCCTGTGAAGATGTGCGATTAGGTTAAGTGTTCATTACCTGTGGCCTCTAAACAAACTGCGGTTCTGATTGGGAGGGTGGGGGAAGAGGTCCCAGCAAAGAGCGCCTTTTGTCATGGGTCCAAAGCTGTACCCATTTCAGCAGCTTCATGAAAATATCCATGAGCTCCCTAGCCCGTTTGGCTCAGTGGATAGAACATGGCTCACGGACTGAAGGGTCCTGGGTTCGATTCCAGTCAAAAACATGAACCTTGGTTGCAGGCTCAACCGTGTGGGGGAGACAATCAATCTATGTTTCTCACATAGATGTTTCTCTGTGTCTCTCCCGTTCCCTTCCACTTAAAAAAATTAATAAATCAATCAATGGGAAAATATCCTCAGGTGAGGATTAACAAAAAAAGAAAGAACATGTTCAGGAGGAAATTTATCCTACTCATGTATTTTTCTTGACGTTGAATAAACTGTTGTGTGTGTGTGTGTGTGTGTGTGTGTGTGTGTGTTTTAATATTTTTGGCCCGTTCTGTATCTTATAAGAAACTTTAGCCACAACTTGATCTCTTCAAGAGAATGTGATTTTTCTGAAGGAAGACATTTACTGTGCCATTTTTAGTTATAATTCCATCAGCGGACTGTGCCTGTGGATGATTCTCGCCATTGGTTCAGGAGGAAGGATTCCCACAGAGAGATTCCCTCCCCTAGGCGGCAGTCCAGATCCACACATGAGCTCACCTGCTCGGGAGGGGAGGGCATCAAGCTTCCCGGGCCTCTGGATGTGCCCTCTCCTGTCTTAGACCCCCCCTCCGTCTGGATGTGCCCTTCACTGCAAAACCAGCCGCCTCCATGCTTCATCGTCCGGCAGGGTTCTCCAGCTGTTCATGTGATCACCAAGGGGGGCAGCAGGCCGTAAAAAGTGCTGGGTGTGCCGGCTGAGGTGTCTCTGGTTGGACGGCAGGACCAGCTTCCAGGCAGAACATCTCACCAGCCAGTTTGTGCCAGGCGGAGCACCTGCAGCTCTTTACAAAACGCAGATCCCGGGCGCGCCGCCAAGCCTCCCCCGGAACCTCCAGGGGCTGGTGCACATGTGATTGTGATCGTGATGTGCAGACAGAGTTGAGAACCCCTGCAAAAGAGTGCTTTCCTGTCCTTCTGACTTGTTAAAGAAATCAGATTCTGCCCTCACTGGTTTGGCTCAGTGGATAGAGCGTCAGCCTGAAGAGTCCCAGGTTCAGTTCTGGTCAAGGGCACACGCCAGAGTTGCGGGCTCAGTCTCTAGTGTGGGGTGTACAGGGGGCAGCCGATCAATGATTTTCTCTCATCACTGATGTTTCTATCTCTCTTTCCCTCTCCCTTCCTCTCTGAAATCAATAAAAATTAAAAATAATAATAATAATGCAAGCATTAAAAGAAAAATCAGATTCTGTGTGGGCAGATTTGGAAACCCACTGGTTTGACAGGAACAAAACTTAGATGTTAGCTCTATTTTTTCTTGTCTTGTAGGTTCTGGTAGCCAGGGTCCCAACTGCTTTGGGGTTTTGTTTGGTTGATTTTTGGAATCGGAGACTTCATAATCTGTTTCCCTCCCCCACTCACTCATACCTCCTCCTCAAGTGCCCCGGCCACACTGTCGGTTGGCCAAGATTCTGTCACGTGAATTTGTGGTAATAACCAACTTGTAATTCCTGCCTGGTTTCCCTCTGCTGCTGTGGCCCTGAGTGGCTCCTCCCTCTGTTGGGAGTACTTAGAGAAGGGAGAGTCACCGTGATTGCTGGAGCCAGACCCTGCTGGGCCGGCAAAGAGTGTCTCATTCCCCCAGCCACCCAAAACCTGACACGAAGTGGGCATTGTCTCCATCTTTCCCCCTCAGCAGGGAGAGTGGCAGGGAGACAAATGAGCATGCAGGCAACCCGAGTTGGCGGACGAGGCTCTGTCATCTGTATGCTGGGTGCCTTGAGCGGGGCGTTTAATGCCTGGACGTCAGGCTAGTCGTCTGAAAAGCCCTTGTTTTATTTTTTATTTTTATTTATTTATTTTTTTAAACTTTTCCAGTTTGACTTTTTTTTTTTTAATATATTTTATTGATTTTGTACAGAGTGAAAGGGAGAGAGATAGAGAGTTAGAAACATTGATGAGAGAGAGTCATCGATCAGCTGCCTCTTGCACACCCCCTACTGGGGATATGCCCGCAACCAAGGTACATGCCCTTGACCGGAATCGAACCTGGGACCCTTCAGTCCCCAAGCCGATGCTCTATCCATTGAGCCAAACCGGTTTCGGCTGAAAAGCCCTTGTTTTAAAGGTTAGAGTAGATAATGGTTGTGCAAGTGCTCAGCAAATGTTACCTGTCACCATTTCATTTGGTGAGCACTCTGAATTCCCAGTGTGTCCATAGGCATTGCAAGGAAGGCACCTCAGAGAAGCCAGAAGCACAACTCTGGCTCAAGGGCCATAGAGTCTTGCAAAACGGTTGATGGGAGCGAAAAGAGAAGGCACCTTAGACTAGAAAAGATTTCAAAACTGGCACTGCTTGTCCCTAATTGAGACTCTCCTCCCTCTGCTCTTCGTTCTTCCTTCCTTGTGCTCTTGGGAAAGAGGTGGCCCCGTTTCAAGCCTCTGTTCCTTTGGTGCTGCCCAGAGGGAAACCCTTGTTCCTGGTCAGTGAATCATTCTTCCTGAAGCTCGCTTTTTAACACGTTGCTGGGAGAACTTGGACGTGAAAAACGATTTGAGGTTGCACAAAGCCAGCCCTTTGCTGTCCGCTTCTCACACCGTGCAGACCACTGCTTCCTACAAACACCCGCCTCCTGCCTCTTCGTGCACACCCCTGTCCTGTCCTCACTGCATGGGAATGTATCTCTTTGCTCGGGGCAGGCCGGGGCCTCCTTGGGATCCTGTTCCAGAGACCCCCTCCTGCACACGCTATTCATTAGAATCTTTTCTTTGCAACCTGAGTTCAAATTCTGTGTGCAGTGTTCAGGTCATGACATCTATTCACAGTACCTATTTGCAAAGCACTGTATGTTCTTATAGCTTTTAATATACCTCTTCTAGAGGCTTCTGAAGATAGGTTCCTCATCCTTTGCAGTTCCAAACTTAAAAAAAGAAAGCTTACACCTCCAAAGCTATCACAGCCCGAGTGACTAAGATGTCCTTGCCGGAACGCCAGCTGCTGGGATGCAGATCTTGGTGTCCCGTGTTTGTCTCCGCCCTCCCATAACTCCCCTTGTCTTCCTCTGCGTCACCCTTTTTCTCTGCCAGTAGAGGATGGAACTGAGGTCTCTATTTAAAAGAGAAGTTTGGCAGCCGTTCTGACCGCCAGCAGAGCTCTGGCTTTGGTGTGTGTTTGGTTTTGTGTGTGTGTGGTTTTTTAATGCGTGTGAGCCCTCTGGCCCATAAGAATGAGAGAACTGTGGGGAAGAGGCTCAGGATGAGACTTGGATTCCAGTGCACAGTCCAGCCTCAGACTGAGAAAGTTGGTCAGTTTTTTGTTTGTTTTTTTAATGTTTTTTTATTGATTTTTTTTTTTTTTTTTTACAGAGAGGAAGAGGAAGGGATAGAGAGTTAGAAACATCGATTAGAGAGAATCATTGATTAGCTGCCTCCTGCACAACCCCTACTGGGGATGTGCCCGCAACCAAGGTACATGCCCTTAACCGGAATCAAACCTGGGACCTTTCAGTCTGCAGGCCGACGCTCTATCCACTGAGCCAAACCGGTTTTGGCTAGTCATTCCTCCTGAAGATGACAGGACAAAGTGACTATTTTAATAACAACTTGCACTTGGCCAGGCCCTGGTCCCTGAGCACCCCCAAGGCTGAGGAGCTTTCTCTCGGGACTCCCCTGCTTGGCTTCCCTCTGGCTTTGCACAGAGGTGGGCTGTGGTTTTAGCCACCAGACTACAAGTTCATTGTTTGTTGACCTAGATCCTAACGTCTTCCTGGGCGATGTGTTTGGTACCCAAAGCCTGTTGATTCCACTGTCACCAGGCTGCTACGAGCCCATTCCCCTCCTGTGTGTTTATCTGTGTGTGAATGGACACATTGGGGATCGGGAAGGCAGTGTGTTTGCTCAGAAGCATGAGCCTAAAGTCGGAAGACCACTTTTCTCTTGACCACTCAGATGGCTGTAGAGCAAATACATGTGTGTTACAGCTTATACAAGGCTCTTTCCCTAACATCAGGGAGGGCAGAGGGGGAGACCTGTGATTTAAGAAGGGCTCACTGCACAGCGGTCTCTGGACTAACCCAGTATTTCTGGTTTCTCCCCTGCAGTTGGAGGCCCCCCTGTCCCACTAAGTGCCTCTTCGCGTAGCACCGGCCCCGCCCTCGCTCACTGGTACCGCTGCAGCAGGACGGCCATGGCGGGTCGGGGAGGTGCAGCACGACCCAACGGACCAGCTGCCGGGAACAAGATCTGTCAGTTTAAGCTCGTCCTGCTGGGGGAGTCCGCAGTAGGCAAATCCAGCCTTGTCCTCCGCTTTGTCAAGGGACAGTTCCACGAGTACCAGGAGAGCACAATCGGAGGTGAGTGGACGCAAGGGAGCAGGGGGGTGGCCGCAGGAAGGCCATTGAGGAGAAGGAAGCTGCCTGTCCGGAGAGACTAAACACACCGCTCCTCCTCTGGGCCCTGAAACAAATGCCAGGAGCTGGTCTCCGAGCCTAAGTCCCCAGAAGCTTCTAGTGAGGATTAGCTGGGAGCCAACCCTGACTTCCTCTCCTGGTTCTGCCTCTTCACTATGGTGTGGCTTTGGCGAAGACCCTTCCGCAGACCCAGCCTCCGGGAAGGGAGAGCCTGAGCCTGGATTCTTGCGGGTTCTTCTGACTTTGCCAGGCCATGCATCTGCCCTGGCCTCTCCCACTTCCCAGAATGGGGAAATGGCCTGGTGAGTGGCTGGCATTTCTGAAGCTGACCTTTCCTCTTTCTTGAGTAAAGAGCCTCTTTGATTTCCCAGTGGTCAGCATTTAGGTTGTAAAGATCTGAACTCAGCCTCCTGCCTTAGTAGCCAGTACAAGCCTTGAGGGGCCAGGGCCGACCTTGGGCTTGAGTCATCTTTTCTCTACCCTCCTGGTTGGTAGGAGGTGTCCAGGCAGCTGGAAACAAAACGGGCCATGTCAGCAGTCTTCTGCTGCCTCCTCAGCACTCGAGTCAGGAGCCGGAGAGGGGAAGTGGGGTGATGCCCCGTGTCCTCGGAGAGGAGGGCGAGGCAGATGGGAGAGCAAGCTTTCAAAAACAGAGCTCTCTGATGGGTCCCGGGGCCAAGGGGACTCCCACCCGCCTGTGCCAGCTCCTTGGAGCGTATACACATGTGCCGCACGTTCCCCTGCCTCCTCAGGACAGAGAGAGGGCCAGGTGTTGCCTGAAGGTCAGGCCACAGGGCGGTCAGTCAGGAATGGGTCCGGTCAGAGCTGGGGGTCGTGGCTACTAGCCCAGTGTACCTGGAGGTGGCAGGGCGGTTAGGAAGCCGGCCACCCAGCTCCTCCGGCAGGGGAACAGCGTGTACTTTCAGGCGTCCCCAGCGCAGCTAAGCATGTAAGTGTCCTCAGGAAACAGAAGGCCAGTGACACCCTGGGCTGGAGCAGACAGGGACTCGCAAGGTTTCCAGCTGGGCTGTTCTCCGAGGGGAGGGGGGAGGAGGGAGGAAGCGGGTGGGTCAGCCCACCCTGCTGAGCTTCGAGTCAGGTTTCCCCTGGGCTTCTGTCTCCCGTCCCCTGATTCCTCTTCCTTCAGAGAGTGTCCCTGAAGTGGCCAGTGCAAGCAGGCGTCCCTCCTCCTGCCCTCACCCAGTGTGGTCTCTAAAGCCTGTACACTCTGCAACCGCCTCGAGACATATACAAAAAAGACAAGCTCTGCCTGTCCTCGCGGGCTGCTTTTCTGTGCCCAGCTCTGCGGAAGGCTTCTGAGTGCCGGAGCCCCGGATGCAACCGTGGGGATGTGTGGGGATGGCTTCCCCAGCTCTTTCTTGCCCGGTAACTCCACCTTCCCTCTTACAGCGGCCTTCCTCACACAGACCGTCTGCTTGGACGACACAACAGTCAAGTTTGAGATCTGGGACACGGCTGGACAGGAGCGGTACCACAGCCTCGCCCCCATGTACTACCGGGGGGCCCAGGCTGCCATCGTGGTCTATGACATCACCAACACAGTAAAGATCTTTCCTTTGCTTCTCGGTCCTTGTTTCTGGACGGGGTCTGGCCTGATTTCCTCGGTGGTTTGGGGGTGTCTCGCCAGAGTCTTCAGGCTGGCGACCTTGCAGACACCTGGCTCTGGTGTGTGGCCTGGGCAGGATGCCTCCTCCGTCCCTCTGACATTCCGGCCCTGTTTTCCCAGGATACGTTCGCACGGGCCAAGAACTGGGTGAAGGAATTACAGAGGCAGGCCAGTCCCAACATCGTCATCGCGCTGGCGGGTAACAAGGCAGACCTGGCCAACAAGAGAGCCGTGGAATTCCAGGTGTGGGGGATGGACCGGCCAGGGGGCTCTGCCCAGGCTGCCTCGCGGCTGCAGGAAGGGTGACATTGGGAGGCGGCGGGGCTTTTATCTGCTGTCCTCTGTGACTGGAGCCCGGGCTGAGAGGAATTGCCTTGTTTCTTGGCAGCAGGTGTGTGTGCATATGGATAGCTAAAGTCTCTGCTTATTTTCCTGTAAACTTTTAAATGAAACTTACTGTAAAAGAAATATTTTTTCCCCACATAATACATGCACATAGTAAAATTTAAATAGTACAAGAAGGTATATAGAACTAAATTTAAGTCTCTAACCTAGAAACTCAGTCTCCCTTCCCCCAAGCACCTCAGTTTCTGTTCTTTCCAGAAACATGCACAATGTGTGTAAATCCCTTTTTACATAGATGGGGATGTGTTTTAATTTTTTTTTTTACCAGTCCCAATCTTTAAGGTTGTTTGTAATAGCAAAAGACGGGAAACAATGCTGTAGTCAATATGTACACACCTCTGTGCGTTGTTTTTTTTTTAAATGTATTTTTATTCAGAGAGGAAGGGAAAGAGAGAGAGAGGAACTTCAGTGATGAGAGAGAATCACTGGCTGCCTCCTGCACTGGTTATTGAGCCCACAACCCATGCATGTACCCGACTGGGAATCGAACCGTGACCTTCTGATTCATGGGTGAACGTTCAACCACTGAGCCACACTGGCTTTTGTTCAAATGTGCAACTGTATTTGTAGGATAACTTTCTAGAAGTATTTCCTAGCCCAGGGTTTTAAAGAGCAAAGGTAGAATGGGCAGAGGGACACCTGGTAAAGCGTCTGCCGATGTTTGTGAGCTGAGAGGTGCTGTAGCTGAAGTGGAGAACAGGGCATACGGTGCACATGTCTCAGAGGAGCCCAGAGTGGAAGGCTGTGGGCCTGGAAACCCCTGCATTGCCTCTGTTGTGTATGAGGCACTGTAATCAGGGAAGACTATTTTATTCTGGGCTCCAGCCCCTGCCAACTCAACATTTTCCTCCCACCCGCTTTCTCAACTCCTTCCAAATCAGGAAGCACAAGCCTATGCAGACGACAACAGTTTGCTGTTCATGGAGACATCAGCAAAGACAGCAATGAATGTGAATGAAATTTTCATGGCAATAGGTAAGGTGCCTCTCCTCTCCTGCTCTCACTGAGATACAGCACTTGCCTGCTGTTCTGTAGCAAGTCTGTGGAGTCCCTTCATCAGCAGATCTTCCACTATTTTCAGTATTCTGATAAAATCATTTTCTTTTTCATCTAACTCTCAGATGTAGATAGTTCATCCCAGAAGTTTCTAAAACTTGGACTAAAGTCTCAACATCTCACTTCCTTACTGTTAAGCTTGCCACCCACCTAAAACCCGGTTTCACCATCCTACTCACTACTTAGGATTTTTTAACCCATCTAGCTCTGAAGTCAACCTGCTTGGTTCAAGTTCTAGCTCTTCCACTTATAACTCGGGTCTTAAGCAAGTCACTTAACCTCTCTCTGCCTCAGTTTCCTGAAACACTCAGAATGTACCTGACACACAAAAGTGAAGCCCTCAATATGGACTTGGGAGACAGTATTAGCGTACCCCCACAAACACATGTTCCCTTCTCTCCCAAACAGCTAAGAAGCTCCCCAAGAATGAGCCCCAGAATGCACCTGGTGCTCCGGGCCGGAACCGAGGTGTGGACCTCCAGGAGAACAACCCAGCCAGCCGGAGCCAGTGCTGCAGCAACTGAGCCCTCCTGCCTGCCCACTGCCCCCACCTCCTCCGCCTGAACAACCTGACTGGAATCCACTCTAACCAATCGCACTTAACTACTCGGGCCACCGTGGGGGGAGGGGGCAGAGGGAGGGGGTCCACCATGATTTCTCCGTTTAATTTTGTTCATAGGCCGGAGTGAGTTATTCCACCTGCACCTTTCTGTAAAAATACTAATTCAATTTTAAGTCTTAAGTCACTTTTTTAATATATATGATCTCTTCCCACTACCTGCCCTTTCTACTGTTCTCCCACTCTCCCTCCGTAGCCACATGCTCCTGTTTCCTCCGCCCTTACATATGGGGAGGCAGGGGTTGGAGCAGTAACCCTCGTTTCCTTTTGCTGATTCATCGGGCTCAGCAAGAGCATCCACAGCCTTCTGTTTGGCGTGTGCTTGGTTCTGGGCCACGGGGCAGGCCTAGGGACTAGGGAAGGGAGAGACAGCTCTTCCCTTAGCTGGCTGGCTGGCATCAGGCTGCCGTCCCCCTCACCCCTGACACACAGTTGGGAGAGAAACCACAGCATTATTGTGACAGCCACGAACCCATTGCCCACAGCCCACCCCATCCCCCTCATCCTTGGTCACCCTGACCTCTGGCTCTGAGCCCTGTTCTGACCAAATCACGATGATGAGTATTTGGGGGTGGGTGGGTAAGGGGGGAGTGGGCGGGAATGGAACCAACTTTTTCTGTATTTTGTATTGTATGTTTTCTTCAACATGTAACCAATCAGTATCTTGTCAATATAGTCAGCCAATGGATTGACCTCCTGCTTGTCTTGTCTTTCTCTGGCAGAATTTATCAGACTTCATCCTCTCTAGCTTACTTGAAGTTAATTTAAAATGGACCACTGAATCTTGTTAAACAAGTGAGGGGGTACTGGTGTCTTGGTAACCAAGAAAAAAGAGTCGCTTACTGTTACCAGTACTAATGGCGTGGGAGTTAAGAGTGACCTGGAACTGAATCTCACCAAGTTTGAAGTGGCGGGTCCTGCATTTTCCTCTCCCTGACCACCTCTAGAATATATTAGGGTGATTGTGCAATCCGGATTTGAAAATATTTGGTCTCAAAATCAAAACAAAACACACACACACACACACGCACACACAGTTGGCCTCTGGAGCAGCAGAAACGAGCTCTTTGGGGTTTGGGGCGGATCAGTATCAGGACTGAGGGAACGGGTTCTCTGCCCTCTTCCCGAAGAGGAACACCAATGACCTGGAGCTTTGGACTCATCATGAGGCCGAGACAGTAGCCTCACACCAGGTCCAAGCCCTCTGGCCCCTGGTCTCCAGCAGGCCCTCTGCTGGTTCTGGAACTAGGGGACTCTCGGACCCTCCTGGCTCTCTGCTGCTCCCTGCTGGCGCTGCTGCTCTCAGCCCCCAAGGGCTATCTGTCCAAGCAGAGCCGTGCTGAGTAGGACCACACCGCACCCCCCAAATCCCAGCCTCTCCCAGGACCACCACTTGAGGTGCCTTTCTGGCCTCTCCCTCCATCATACTCCCACCTCTGACCCCAACCCCAAGAAGAGGCCGGGACACGAGGGCTGCTGCTCACTGTGGCGGTTTATTGGGTCAGGCTAAGTTGGAACCCTTAGAGCCGAGACGCCTGTGTTTCGAGGAGTGTCCGGTTTGGGCTTCAGCGGAAGGTAGCGCCCCGCCCTGGCCTCGGATCCACAGCTGGCCCGAGGGTGTGAGGCTGCAGGTCATGGCGGAGGCATCCACGTTCGGCGGTAGTAGCATCTGGCATTGCAGCTTCTGCGCCATGCGGTAGCTGCTCCCGTCCCGGCCGTAGCTCTCCTTCTGCCGCTGGCCCGTCACCGACAGGCACTGGCCGTCCACTTGCACCAACAGCTCCTCGGGGCCGTAGCCCTGGGCATCCATCTTCATCTGGAAGCTGTTCTCCACGTGGACGTTGCTCCCCACAGCTGGCACATCATCCCGGACCTGCTGCACCGGCAGTGTGACCACCTGGTTCTGTTTGGCGAGGGTTGTGCTGGGAGACCTGGACGCCACCTGGCCCCCTTTGGCGAGACCGCCACCGCCCCGCTGCATCCGAGTGAGCAACTGCTGTCCGAGGGCACGAGGCTCTGCGTCTAGCGCTTGCCCCGCGTGCAGGGGCGGGATCCGAGAGCGGAGGGGCCTCCGCGCCCCGACCCCCCTCCCCCCCCCAGCTCCGCTCCTGCTCCGCAGCTCCGCTCCGCTCAGCGGGACTCCCTTCCCTGCTGCAGAGTCAGAGCTCAGGGCCAGCTGTGCACTGCCTACCTCCGAGGTCAGGCGGTCACTCGCTCTGGCATGCCCGCTGCTGCTTTTATCCTGGATCCTTTCTTGGGCCCCTGCCCACCTCCGTCAGAGGGTCCAACTGGATACGATGATAAAGGAGGCCGGAGCCATGACCCATGGGACCGTTATCAGCGCAGGGTGCAGATGACATGGAGCCATCAGGACACCCCCTCCCAAGAACTGGGACCCGGGGGTAAGAAGACTTGTCTGGACAGAGCGATTGGAGAGTGAGCACAGGGTAATCAATCCATTTTCCATTTTCGGGACATCCTGCCTTTCTCTGACAAGGCACAGTCCTGTGGCACTCTGGAGATGGGGAGGTGGGCACATCTTTCTGGCTTCCTCCATCCATCCTGGGCCTTCTGTGCTGCAGATTTGGGCTGGGCTCAGGGACCACAACCGATTAAGATACGGCGCGGCCCTCAAGGTTCCCAGGATGCTGAAAGAGAGCCATTCCCAAACACGAAGGAAAACTCCCGCCCTCCTATGCCTCTTCTTCATCCCCACCGTGGCAGCCTTGTCCGTGACCGCCACCATGTCTCTGGTACTCATCACCTTCATAATAAACCCTTTTTATGGAAGCACAAAAGAGTACAGCCGAATTATCCCAACAGGTCAAGAAATACAACTGTTGCTGCTTAATCTCCGTAGCTGAAGCTCGTCTCCGGAGACATATGGGTCAGGGACCAGGGTAGGGGTGGGAGGGGGGTGTGCGGGAAAGCCGACTGGACCTCAGTCCCAGGCCTGCACGCCACCTGCGGGGCGTGGGAGGAGGGCAGAGCCCACGAGTCCCCCCACCAGATCCCGGAGAGGACAGCGATCTTGACAACCCTGGAAGCCTTCAGGAGAGATTAACGTTGACGAGGAATTAATGTGCGGTGCTGGTTCTGGCCTCATTTGGCTGCCTGGGCCCAAGAGACAGGATAGAAAAGTCTGGAAGGTGGAGGCCAAGGGAGCGGCGGTGGAAGACTACAACTCCCATCAAGCTCTGGGGCGGGACGCCTGCGTACTGCGCGTCCGTTGCCCATGCGGCCCTAGGGCAGGGAGCGCCGCGCCGCTCCGCTGCGGGGGAGGCCATGGCGGAACCTTCCCAGGCCTCGACCCCGGCCCCGGCCGCGCAGCCCCGGCCCCTGCAGTCCCCACCCCCCGCCCCGACCCCGACTCCTACTCCCAGCCCGGCTTCGGCGCCGACTCCGGCTCCCACTCCGGCACCTGCCCCCGCTCCAGCTGCAGCCCCATCCGGGAGCGCTGGGGCGGGGGGGCCCGGGGTAGGAAGTGGGGGTACCGGGAGCGGGGGGGACCCGGCTCGACCTGGCCTGAGCCAGCAGCAGCGCGCCAGCCAGAGGAAGGCGCAAGTCCGGGGACTGCCGCGCGCCAAGAAGCTGGAGAAGCTAGGGGTCTTCTCGGCTTGTAAGGTGGGGGCGGGGCCTGGGCCAGGGGGCGGGGTTTGGGCCATCCTAGGGCTCGGGTGGCGATGGAAGCGAAGCTCTGGCTGGGGACAGGCGCCTCGACCCTGGGATACACGCAGGCTTGTTGACTGACCCTTCTGCCTCCAGGCCAATGAAACCTGCAAGTGCAATGGCTGGAAAAACCCCAAGCCCCCCACCGCACCCCGCATGGACCTGCAGCATCCAGCTGCCAACCTGAGTGAGCTGTGCCGCAGCTGTGAGCACCCCTTGGGTAAGGCAGGTCGTGCCCCGGGAGCCGGGGCGGGGGCGCGAAGCAGGTGCTGGCTCCTGCTTGGACAGAATGACTTAAGTGCCACAGAGCTTCATCTTTTAAAAACCAAAGGTGCTTTCTAAGGAGATACTGGGTTGGGGTGAGGGGGAGAAAGGAAGTCTGCCCATACAGAAATACAAGGAGTCCCCCAGGGGCCGACCCAGGAATCGTCAGGCTCGTTTCCGGTCAGAGAGGGACCGGGGTGTGTCTTGGCTGGTGACGAAGAGGGGCAGGACGTCCTGTTGACCTCTTCTGCCCATTTTCCCCAACTCTCCCGCCCGTTCCTGCAGCGGACCACGTGTCCCACCTGGAGAACGTGTCGGAGGAGGAGATTAACCGGCTGCTGGGGATGGTGGTGGACGTGGAGAACCTGTTCATGTCTGTCCACAAGGAGGAGGACACCGACACGAAGCAGGTCTATTTCTACCTCTTCAAGGTGAGCTTTCCCCATGTGCACGTGAGGGAGCAGAGGGGTGGAGGCTGGTGGGTCTGCCGCTCTGGATCTCTGCTGGCCTCTGCCCCTCCCTTTTCCTCTTCCTCCAGCTCCTTCGGAAGTGCATCCTGCAGATGACGCGGCCTGTGGTGGAGGGCTCTCTGGGCAGCCCCCCGTTTGAGAAGCCTAATATTGAGCAGGTGGGATGAAGAAGGGGGCCAAGAGAATGGGGGGCATCTTGGAGAGGAGAGAGGAGACTGTGTTCCCCATCCTCCTCAAGCGGGGATCAGGGGAGAGGTCCCAGGGAGGGAGGATGCGTTGTGCTAACCTCAGAGTGTGCACAGGGGTTGCGAGGGGGCATAGTTTCTCTTCACAGAAAGCCTCGGGATGAGAGGAGAGCCTTGCCCCTGCCCTCAGGAAGCCCCTAGTTTTGGGTAAGAAGCCCACGCTGGCTGCTCACACCTCCTCCCCGGTTTTGCCCCCCGCCCGCCCCCACCCAGGGTGTGCTGAACTTCGTGCAGTACAAGTTCAGTCACCTGGCCCCCCGGGAGCGGCAGACCATGTTCGAGCTCTCGAAGATGTTCTTGCTCTGCCTCAACTACTGGAAGCTGGAGACCCCTGCCCAGTTTCGGCAGAGGTCTCAGGCCGAGGACGTGGCTACCTACAAGGTCAATTACACCAGGTAGGCCCGGCCAGCCGCCGCCCGGGGAGACGCGTGCAGGCCCGGCGGTCCCGCTCTCACCGCCTCCCCGCTCCGCAGGTGGCTCTGTTACTGCCACGTGCCCCAGAGCTGCGACAGCCTCCCCCGCTACGAGACCACGCACGTCTTCGGGCGGAGCCTGCTTCGCTCCATCTTCACCGTCACCCGGCGGCAGCTGCTGGAGAAGTTCCGGGTGGAGAAGGACAAGCTGGTGCCCGAGAAGAGGACCCTCATCCTCACCCACTTCCCCAAGTAAGGCTCCTGCTGGCCCGTCAGGGTTTGGCCCCAAGTTCACGTCCTCCCTGTTGTCCCGCCATCCCCCCCCCCTTTTTTTTTTTCCAGGAAGGCTTCCTGGATTGGTCCCTCCGCTCCCTCCATAAGCCCTCTGGGATCTGGGCATCTCCCTGGACCACGTGCCCACAGCCCAGATGCAACTTGATAGCATTTGCCTTGTGTACTAGTCAGGGGATGGCAGATACATAGCCCGAGTGCTAACACTAGCCCTGCCTGCACTTGGTGTATGTCTTTTTTATTTTTTTTTATTTTTTATTATACTATATATTTTATTGATTTTTTTTTACAGAGAGGAAGGGAGAGAGATAGAGAGTTAGAAACATCGATAAGAGAGATAC